CGCGTCTTCGATAAATGTTTATTTTCTGGGGAAAGTCGCGACCTGGATCGCGAGTCACGACATCACCTCGCGAGTCGCGACATTGGCTCGCGAGTCGCGGCTCTCCTCGCGAACAGCTCTTTTTCGTCTCTGTTGGACTCGCGAGTCGCGACATTCTCACGAGTCGCGACCATCTCGCGAGTCGCGATACTGTCTCGCGAGTCGTGAGAAGTCCTGGGCAGCTCTTCAGTCCGTTTTTTCGGTCCTTCCTTCAAAATTCTGGGCCCGTCAATGGGTATTCTTCATATCCCGGCCTAAGCTCAAGTAGTCCCGTCCTCGATTCACACAACCTACCTCCTGAAAACACAAACACGAAGAAAACACGAAGCAAAACACAACAAAAAAAAGACGCACAAAACGAACTAAAGAGAAAAATGGAAAAATCATAGAATTGGACCAAATAACCTATAAAAATCCTATAAGTGGGGAAAAATAAAGAGAAAATAAACCCAAAATAAAGACAAAAAAATGGGACAAACAACTCCCCCACACTAAAACCTTTGTTCGTCCCGAACAAAAAGAAAAGAAAAGAAAAGAAAACAAATAAATGATCAGGGACAACGGTTCAAGCAAAACCAATCTCAAACGTATCAATCGAACCGAGAAGAATTCCAATGATCACAAGAACACATCTCAATTATCAACCCAGCAATTTCGAAGAACAACGACTCTCGAGTACAAATATGTATATGCCTCACTCAGTTTCTTCGCAATATATAAGAAAGGTGCACAAATTGGTCATCAGTCAAGTCGATCATAGATTTGCCTATCGACTAACTTCTACTCTAAAACAATCAAATTTATAAAACAATGAATCAAGAGGTCTTTAAGGGTTGTAATGTAGGCTCTTTGGACAGGGTAGGAAACATATAGGCTAAGTGGCTCAAAATAAATCAACTCAACTCTGCACCCAACCATATCAACAAACACCTCCAGTTGTCACCAACCGGCTCCTCCCACTAACTCCAAGACCAACATACATCCCAAGCATTTTTTTTTATCATTTTTTTTGTTATTTTTTATTTTTTTTTGCGAAAACCATTTGGGCGTCTTATCTAGGTTTAGCCTTCGGGTTTTCTGCCTGAGTCTCATAGACTGGTTTCCCGTACTCATGGCTCTTATCCACTACATTAGTGGACGTAGCGCTAGGAGTATAATCCATTTGGCTTTCCAATTTTTTTTTTTTTTTTTTTTTTTTTT